GCAGCATCATATGACCCCTTTAATTCTCTGCAGAGAATGATCTGGTTTACACACAGCTTTGAGTCTGTGTGCACAGAGATAACACATAGACTCACAGCCGACTTTTTATAATATGCAAAAAGATACATAGAAGGACAGATAAGACTCTAAGCCAATCATGTTACTCAGTGCACATTGCCCTATTACATGGTAGATGTCTGGTTACTCTCAAAACTGCCCGTCCATGGTACACAGTTTCCCCTTAAATGTTGTTTTTCAACCTAAAGCAGTTACGTGCCCAAGTTACATAAAATAACAAAATTTCCCTATGGACTATATACTACCTTGATCTTTGTATGTTTAAAAAGATACAGTCAACAGTAATATGCCGTGTAATATGTCCTTACATGAGATTAATGCATTCAATGCACAATTAACAAAATTATAAATTTCCATAACACTCCTCCCTTTTGATCATTATTGATCACTTATATTGATTAATGTAGATAAATTTGTAAACAAATTACCCTTATAGTTTACATCAAGTGTGTAATTTCACTAGGATTCAAAACACCATCACTCTCATAAGGATGAAAAGCAGAATTTTGCATTGTTTTTCATGGAACATATAAATTTCCATAACACTCCTCCCTTTTGATCATTATTGATCACTTATATTGATTATTGTAGATACATTTGTAAACGAATTACCCTTATAGTTTACATCAAGTGTGAAATTTCACTAGGATTCTAAACACCATCACTCTCATAAGGATGAAAAGCAGCATTTTGCATTGTTTTTCATGGAACATAGTCATTCCTAACATATAAGCAAGCTATAATGAAAACAATAACTCTTATATTTGAAAAATCTTAGTGTGATATTCAAACAGAAGAAACTTTCTTATCATTCCTTCGGGTTGCATCATCTCGTAACACGGACAATGACCTGCTTTAGACCCTCTTTATTCTACAGTATGTAATGCTGTAGTAAGTAACTACTCTTCTTCTGTAGAGCTGCTGCAGGTGTCAGATTTTAGCATCTCTTTGGCTTCACCATTTTCACCAGTAAAACTCACATTATTCTTACTTCCATACAAGACATTGTACATTACCATCTGATGAGCTACTGAAGATTGCATGGTTGAATTTACAGCTCTTCTAATCATTCCCACTACACAAGGCCACATACACAGCAAAAATAAAATCATGACCAGTGCTGAGATAGCAATTAACCCAATGTATTCCGCTTTCCGCCATAAACCCTTAAACCAATTCCATCCCCAGTCATCATCGGCATTTACTTCTCTAGCTGTCAACCTGTTAATTGCATTAGTCATGTTTTTAATACCCTCATCAATCACATGACCATCAGCATCATTGTCAGGAATGTAAGTGCAACACGCAGATCCCACAAGTGCCCCCCCCCCCCCAGAAGATGCAGTGAGCTGGTCTAGGACAAGTCGGTTTTGCAGTGCAATCAGCCTCAGCCCTCGTAGTTCCTTCTTGACGCCTTCCATCATCACCTTAGTAGTGTTCATGAAACTTATCAGTTCATATCTCGTGATTTCGACTTCAATTTGAAGAAGGCTGACCCCAAGCGCCGGAATTACAGCATGGAAGAACTTCTCCGCTCCGTTCCACAGCCTGTGTTCCCTCGGAACATAATTGTCTCTTGCCCAACTTGATTGTTCTGCTCGGTCCTTCAGTGAAGACATTTTCTTTTCGATCTCTCTCTTGGCTCTTGTGAGACGATTTCCGGTGTTGTTGTGAAGTTGTTCAGGTACCTTGACTACTAGCGCTCCTCCATACAGCTCCACCATGGCACACGTACCCATCCAATGCCTGGGAAGTGAAGCATATATGACGTGTCCACACAGCCAATAACAGTCTTCCAGCACACCGGTTCCTTCTTCATCTGGTATATGAGACGTGTCACATGCTTTATGGCATCTTCTGCGTTCAGGTGCATGAAGGCTGGTGAGATAGTGTCTACTCACCAGTGATTGTGGTAGGTGATGATTTGGAAATGTGGTATTAAGCATGCAGACAACTCATGCACACACTTCTGGTCTCGTCACTTGTCGAGTTGGTCATGTAGATTTCGCTGCAGTGGTCGGATGGTATGCTTTCCTAACAGCTCAAGTCCCTCGCTGTCATCTGTTGACCCGCATGTTTCTTTATCTTTTTAACAGGGAAAATGGGTGTACGCACAGGAGAATCCTCACAGGGCACAATTACCCCAGCTGCTTTTAATGATTCAAAAACTGGTATTATTCCCTCAATAACCTCTTTTTTTCAGGGGATACTGAGGCTTGCGTGGTCTATAATCAGATTTTGGAGTGATTTGAACTGGTTCACAATTTTTAACCAGCCCCACGTCAAATTGAGACGAAGCCCAAAGTGTTTTAGGGACTTCTTTGAGCACTGGGTGAGTCTCTACTTCCTCTGCTTGCGTCATCAATCACACAGACTGTGCGTACCACGCGCATGTACGGGAAACTCATGAATATTCATGTATGCTCCGCCAATTGAAACAGAAAATCTCGGAAACCAAAAATCTCGTAACACCGGTAGGGCAAGTACAATTCTCTTTCACTTGGCCTTTTAAAAAATCCTCTTGTCCCAGATAAGCGGACAAGCGTTGATGTCGAGCCCTGCGACGTGTGTTTAGACTGCTTCAGTAGGCTAGGTCCAATCTTTACGACTCAGCGTCAATGGAGTGGTACGTCAATTCTTCCTCGTTTTTTGTTCATTTAATTCATAATTAATGATATTATGCATTGCAATGAGGTTGATCTAATTTGTGCCCCCCTGAAAAAATGAAATGCCCGTCCGTGAATTTGTGCCTGGCGCCGGTGTTCCGGTGAATTCAGTTTCCCTGTTTCCCTCTCACAGCTCCTGCGCAACTTCGCAGTGTTGCCAAGTCCGCGGTTTTCCCGCGGTAGTTTTTAGTAGCAATTGGGCGTTTTTTAAAAATATATCCTGGCAACCCTGAAACTTCAGTACTGAAATCATGATGTCATGATTTCGCCCCAGCTAAGCAAGTCATCTTATGGTGGTTTTGCTGTCTTTCCGCAAGCAATGTTCATTTCACCATGTTAATTAGATCATTTGTAATTAAATACGTATTAATGTACGTCACGTACTGTTCAATCGGAACATAGTCAGATTTCCCTGCTAATTCTAATTTTTGCCTGTTTTATGAAGTGTAACACCATACATTACAATTAGACAGTTAAATTCCTTCGTCAGGGGCATTCTTTTGTTCAGACGCGCATTTCCATTGTATTGTTATTGTTAGTGTGTGTGTGTGTGTGTGTTTCTGTCAAACAACTTAAGCCTTGTCGAAATAATAACAAATAAACTATATTTCCAAATGACTAGTCTCTCTTTTATTATTTTAGGTAACTCAGAGTGATGCTCCTGATGTGTTTTTAAAATGTCATAATTACGTCTAACCACTTTTATCTGCAGAATAGTGTCTTTACACTAAAAACACAAGGGGAACATATGGTTCACTTACGTCGGTGCTCGTGCTGGGGCTGGTGTTGTTTGGATGCCGATTTTGGAAAGTTTTTGCTGGGATGGGCATTTAAAAAAATCTGAAATTCGCTTTTGCGCCATTATCTCCTTGTATCAAAGTTAATCTTGTTCGCATTCTGTATAGTTCATGGCTGATACCACGCGCCAGCGTCACGTGTTCATGAGGATTAGGCTAATCATCCCATATAGAAAACATCACAAGTAAAATTAATCATGTTTATAAAGATAAACATGGGTTTATTATAGCCCACTTACAATTTACATTTCAGAGATCATTACAAATAAATTATTAAATGCTAAAACTGAATAAATTTAAACGAACAAACCTGGCGTTGCATTTGCAACCATGTGAAAACAGGGGGTGCTGCAGCCCCCTCAGCACCCCTACTTCCCGCGTCCCTGTGCGTAGTCCACAAAAATGACGGAGATCGTTTACATCTTCTATAAAAGAGTATATAAACAACATTTGTTGTCACATTTATTAATTAAGTCACAGTAATATAAAAAACAAAATCCTCTTAAACAAGCTTTTATTAAATGAATTTAAAAATAATAATAATTGCAATTATTAAAAAAAAAAAAATCCTTTAATTCATGTCGCCTAAGTTACTTAAATGACAAATTACTATCTAGACAAAAAAAAAATGCTGCATCCAGGTAAATCTGTTCCCCCTGTGTTTTCAATGTAAAAACACTGTTCTGCAGATGAAAGTGGTTAGACATAATTATGACATTGAAAAACATAACCAGTATCACTCTATTGTGTTATAAATCCTCAGAAGGTAAAATACCTCTTTTTGTGTAATTTAGATGGAAAATGTGTGCCTTTTTTATCGTTTGAGTCACTTATCAAAAGTTGCTAAATGTTGCCAAATAAATTTTTAAAAATAGCTACATTTGTTGCTAGGTGCTTTTGGAAGAAAAAGTTGCTAGGGTAGTCTGAAAAGTTGCTAAATCTAGCAACAAAATTGCTAAATTGGCAACACTGCTCATCTGCTCCGCGATGTTTTGTTAGATTTGGTGGAGAAACCAAGTCTGACCACCAGATGTCGCTAATGCGCACTGTGTTAAAAGCTTCGAGTAATGAACCTTTTCGGCACAATTTCATGAAAGCCTCAAACGTTTGCATCACTAATGTTTTTGGTTTCGGTTTTCTGATTAATGGAGATTTCTCTGCAGCATCATGGGTAATGTCGTTTCGTTTCTCATCAGGAGTCCTGCCGTTAACTCCGATTAAAAAGGTATAAACAATACTTCAACAGAAAAATAAACCATAGATTAACAACCTTGTAGCTCACAATAGGTCTGTCTTTAAACGTTTGTAAGTTATCGTTCAAAATCCAGAGCCTGACTGTTGCACTACGAATCGTTCAGAACAGTCTTATGAACCTGTTCAACTGATTCTTTTAAAAGATTCAACTCACAAGAAAGATTTGTTCACCGTTCGGACGTCGCTGGAAAGCGGAAGTGACGTGTCAAATCCGGTTAAAGCAGTTCTTCAAGTTGGAGAAGTGTACAGTTTTAGAATTTGAGGCTGTTTGTACCTCACCTTTTCAGCAAAAATGGGTGACCCCGTTGTCAACTATACTTCACGACTTCAGCAACAGGTCAGCGCTGCATTAAAACGTTAAAAAGTTTAGAAGTTGTGTTCATATATGCATGTGTTTTTCGACGTAGGAGACTGAAGCACGCATGCAGGTCTTAGTCATGATGACTAACGTTATTCTGTTTAATTCGCCTCAAAACTACAACGTGTGTAGGCTGTAGGTGTTTTTGTAAATATAAAGACAATAAATCATGGCATACTGTGCTGAGGCTGTCGTAATATCTTCTGAACTGACTGTTGTGAGTTATTGCTAGTACATGCAGCTTTTTAGAGATCTGGTTTTATGAACAATATGTTTATATTGGCATCATGAAAGTTATGTTCACATCTTTTTTGACGTTGAACGTGGGCGAGTTCGTTGAACCTTTAGACAAAATATGAAAGAAAACAAACAAAAATAAAAACACATTTTGCTCATATGTCAAATGTTTTGTATCAGATACTGCAGGCTTTTATGGCTAATTTTTTATGTTATAGTGATAACATGGAGTTCACACTTTCATCAAGTCTGTATTTGAGGACATATTTGACTTTTACTTGCTAAATAGGTATGAACTGTCAACCAGAGGGCAGAAGGCATGTAAACAACAGGTTTTTCAACAAAGTTTTGAGCATGTTGGTAATTTAGAGGCCTAAGAAATTCATTCATCAAATATGATACCGAACTCTTTAAATGGAAGAACCCAAAGTATGCTATCTCTGAGCAATAAGCCTATGGATAGTGTATGGACTGGTAATCACTTTCCCAGTCAAAGTGAAACGAATATAATAATATATGTATAATTATTAACAAAGTGTATAATAATAAGTCAAAGTGAAGTTTAATTATGACAAAGTTCATGCCATTGTAAGTTTGAACTTTGAAGTACTTCCTTGTAACTAAGGCATGCGGTATCTGATGTTTAAGATATTTGTCCTTGGCCTACTTTAGATTTTCTGTGGTTTTAATTTGGCATACAGGAAAGAGAAATCAAGTTACTCCAAGATGAAATAGAGAGACTGAGAGATCCACAGGAGCTGAACTTCATGTCTTCACAGCTGGATGAGTTGCAGGAGGAGAATTCCCGTCTGAAGTATCGCCTCAACATTCTGAAAAGAGTGAGTGTAATATGCTTTTTATTAATGAGATGATTGCAATCTTTGTAGTGTGGCAGAGTTTGACCTCTGCAAAGACAATCATATGTTCTTCTGTGTAATTAAAAGTCATATCATACATTTTACACATTTATCTACTGTCAGTATAGTTTTCTAATGTGCTAATGTAAGAATAAAATCAAATAATATGGGTATGTTATGAACATTTACTGAAAAATTGTGCTGTTTGTGGAAATTTCCAAGTGCTTTCCTATAGAATGTTCTGTAAACCTTATCTTTGCAAAGCTTTATTACTTTGTAACAGGATCACAAAATAATCTGCACTGAAATGATGCATGGTAGCATTAGTTATTGGCCAATATTAGATATTTTTCATTCATTAGTATCTGTCGATATTTAATTGTGTGTGCCGAGTTCCCTTTTTTCACATTTGTTACTTTTTGCAATCAACTAACGCTCACTTAATAATTTAAAAACACTGTAAAATGCCATCTTTATCAAATCTCAAGATGAATATCCATTTTTCGTACTGTACATTGCAATGCTGTGATGCCTAAATTCACTGTAACATTTAAAATGATTGATTTTATTAAATAAAGTTAAAATCAGAATTTTTTATTATTATCCTTGACACTGCAAAAGTGTATGTGAAAATAAAGAGTGTGACAAAACAATAGGGGAGTGTCTCCACAAAATTTGTTTTAAAAGTTCACCTTTTTATAAAAAACAAGCTAGATTTCAGTATATTATCTTTTTGGACTAGAGGGGAAGTTTTGGATTGCGAGCACTACAACTTGACATTTACAAAAGGGGAATTAGTTTCCTAATGACCTGACTATTAATTTAACTGTTTGTTACATTGTTTGAATATCTTAAGATCTTGAATCAAGTACACGTTTGTGTCTTTTTCATTAAAGTTGACCTATTATGCAAAATTTACTTTTATAAGGTGTTTGAACACAGTTGTGTGGCCGCAGTGTGTGTGAAAACAATCAGCCTATAATGGTAAAAATCCACCCACTCATTTTTTTTATAATCCCAATAAATCATAAACAGTTTTTCCAAATGAGCGGTTCCAGATTTTTACCTACGTTGACATCATTGTAGGGAAAAAGTCCCGCCCATTTGTGATGCTCTCTGCCATATTAGCATAGACACCACCCTGAGTGAGAAGCAGCAGTCCGCCATTACTGTTTTCTTGCTGTAGCTGCTGGAGAGATACAATGTCAGAGCCAAATAGGCATTACAAGTGTTGTGTTTCAGGATGCACCAACAAACATAGGAGTCTCCATAGACTCCCTCCATCTGAGCCGCTGAGGACACAGTGATTACATTTCATTTTCGAATGAAACGTCCCAGAAAAAAAATGCTAAAGTCCTATATGTTTATGCCAATCATTTTACGCCGGACTGCCTCACAAACGAGGGTCAGTTCAGTGCTGGAGTTGTGCAAAGGTTGCTTCTGAAAGAGGGATCATTTAGCTTAAGCTACCATTGTCTCTGCCTGTTTTCACTGATGCTGCCTTCACGTGCTATCAGAATGATCGTAAATCGGAATGTGGTAGTTAAAAATTGCATATGAAAGCAATGTGAAGTCGACAGCTTGAATTTGTCGAGCTCATAATCACAAGTGGGACTTATAAAGTTTGTGATAGCACGCGAAGGCACCATGAGACCAGTTACATCTTTATTTTTAGCGCGCTGTGCTCCCCATCTGTGTAATTCATAAATGCGCATTTACTATGCACAGTACAATCAGATTTTCTGTAAAGATAACAGGCTTGTACTTGTAGTGGACAGCACATTCCAGTGACCCAGACCGGGCCCCTCTCTGACCACAATAGTGGACTAAGGTTTGGTACATTTTGATTGGATCTTGGTGGACTAACATAAGCAAACTGTCCAACGCCATCAGATAAAGATGCTAGGACAACAGCCAGACACCTCTTAGAGGGCAAGAAGACCTCTGGTACCAAGCCCAGGAAGGACAGGGCTTCTCATTGGTCAAAATACAGTTTCTGCCCTTCACCCACCCAGAGACCTGTTCCTAAGATTCTGGTCTGTGACCGCCATAAAAATTCCTTTGGACCTCCAGGTGCAACAGCACAGCAGTGGGTGAAACAAAGAGAGATCCATCCAAATCCATTCATAACTATGTTTTCAAACCTTAAACTGATGCAAACTACAACACATCTTATACTTATTCAGAGAAATAAGTATTCTCAGTGACAGCTATGTGTAGTGCAACATCTTACACTAACTCAGCTGTTAATGGACAAATGAATGCATGCATGACAGTTCAATCTTTCCCATCATGTTTGGACTTAATGCGTTCGTAACATTGCCAAATGTATTCTGGTTGTGGTTTGGTAAGTGAATAATGCATTGGTAGAACTTTAGTGACACTTTTCTAAATGTGTGTTTAGACTATGCAAATAAGTTCCACAGGAGGAAAGAAGGGTTGGCGTGGGCCACACCGTGTCCCCCCTCCACTCTGATGTAAACAGCCAATCACAGCATGGAAACAGAGAAGCGCCAAATTGCAATCTCCTCCTCATCGGAAAGAGATAAAGGAACCCTTCCAAAAGACACACCTCTGTCACGCAAGGGTGAGACAATAGCAGATCAACCTCTGTTCTGAGTCTGAGTCCCGAAAGGGTGAGACCCTAACAGATACAGACACCGTACTGAGTCTCAGTCCTGTCAAGGAAGGGACTGTAACAGATACAATCGTTCTGAGTCTCCGGCACGCCCAGTGAGACACTAGCAGATACACTCGTTCGGCGTCTCGGTCCTGTAAGGAGAGAGACAGAAACAGGTCACCAACATTCTGAGCCTTTGGCCCGTGAGGGAAAAGGCAATAACGGATACCAAGTCCTGAGTCTCCAGCTTTTGAGGAAGCAACAGGTACAACCACATTCTGAGACTCCAGCCTGTGAGGAAAGAGATACTTTTCGTTCAGACTTCAGAGTCTTCGTCCAGCGAGACAACAAAAGATGCAGCACGTCCTGAGTATCCATCCTAGAGAGACAAAGCGGATCGACCAAGTTCTGAGTCTATACCAGAGAAGCAGAAAACACACAGATATTTGCAACAGGGTTAAGCTCCGGTGAGCAAACCTTCACTTCAAGGTACTTTTGCTTGCGTATTCCAGGCAAGGACGTTGTGCACCTACTCCAGGGCCACATTTGCGTGTTCCAGATTTTAGTACCCTTTGGCGCTCCAGGAGATCAGCATCCTACAGCACTTCGTGTTCAAGGCTGTGGAAATGGATTCCTGCTCCTTTCCCCACTGCATTGTTAGCTGCACAACCAGTGGAAGAAGTCACTGCTACCGGACTGCTCACTCAACCACAGAGAACGTAAATATCACTTATCCAAACCTCTTCCAGATAACTTGGCATTGTTGTATATTATCAGTATATGATTTTTCTAATTTACATTAGATATTATGTAGCTAATTGCCGTTGATAACAAATAATCTTTCACGTATTTGTTTGATGCATAATAAGGTTCTTCACCTTATTTGTTTCAGAGTAGCAACAGTTTTTCCAGATAACGTAGCTCTGACATAGCAACACCCAACTTAAAGGGGTCATATGATGTTGCTAAAAAGAACATTATTTTGTGTAATTAAATGTGTTTATGCGGTTTAAAGTAAAAAAAAAAAACATTATTTTCCACATACTGTACATTATTGTTTCTCCTCTATGCCCCGCCTTTCTGAAACGCGGCGCGACTCGGCAGTATGTTTAAGATTTCCCTTTGCGACCAGCACAGATCAGCTCTAGGCATGACGAAGCGGATATTGTCCTCTTTTGGAAGGCCAAACAAAGTATTTTCGCTTTCGCAACAAAACACACAGTGTCTTCACAACATGGCAGCGGCAGCAACAATAGGCATACTACAGCGAGAATCAAAGTTACGCTTTCTTTCTTTGCAGGGACATTTGGGCGGTGTTATGCAAATCTTCCCACATTGTGACGTAGACATGTGGGGGCGTGTTAGAACGAGCCGTTTTAGGTAGGCGTGGTTGACTCTTAACTTTTATAAAGAATATCTCTTTGGATTTGAGACTTTAGTCTTTGCAACTTTACAGATCTTCTTTATGCACCAAGAGCTTGTAACACTTCAAAGAGAAAGGAAAAATTTTAATCGCATCATATGACCCCTTTAAAATCAATTTTTCGTGTTATGCTAATTGACAATGGTAAAAGATTCCATTATTTCATTGCCTGTTACTGTACGTTTAAGAAAATTAGTTTTAGCATTAGGGAGTAGAAATCTACCCTCTGTTGCTCGTCTAGTAGCATATTCATGTGACTGAACATTAGATTGTAATTGATTATACTGATCCAATGGAGTTTTAAAATGTAAAACCTTCCATGTTGATAACAATATTGCAGCAATCATCCTATCTTCCACTCTTAGCCTTAGCTAAGTTTAGAGTATTTATTTCCACAGTTTATCATTGCTGTATTTTGACCTGGGGTCCGTTCTTCGCATGTGGATTGTTCAGTTATCTGGATTTTATTGTTGGCGATTTGACATGATCCAGGATTAAGTTCTTCGAAGCTCATCCTGGAGTTGCTGTCATTGCAGCAGGTCCATTAGCTCAAACCTGCATGGAAGCAGGCTTATTCCACGTAAACAGGATTAGATTGTGTAATTTTAAGTGAAGGTGATACTGAAAGTCTGTCCCAGCCACTGCTATTTTCTTACAAGTGTAAGAAATAATTTTAAAATAATTAAAAAATTTAATTTTAACATTATTTTGAAAATAATTTAAATGTTGTGTAATCTATAATAATAGACATGACCAGTTTTACTCATTGAAAGATTTATTCGTGAAGGAATAATTCTCATAATTTATTGCAGTCATATTATGTACAGTTTGTCTGAGTCATGCATTAATTTGAACTGTGAGCTAAGCTTTTATGCGGGTGACTTTGATGCATCGCAGGAGATGCAGACTCACTTCTCAAATCTCAAAATGCTTTTATGA